GACATCTAACTCTCACAGACTTATTACTGGTCAGCCTCTGTAAGTGTGTAAGCCATTTCCTTGAGGTAAATCTGTCTGTCTGTCTCTCTGTACATACATAAGCATCACTGGTTTTGCTTCTATAGAGAATCCAGCTTAAGACAAAAACCCACTGGAGCACTGTTCTATGACATGCATGGGGTTGCTGTGAGTTGGAACTGACTCAACAGCAACTGGTGACTTGTACTCACCTTAATTGGTAGAACAGTCATTTGGTTAGATCAAGCACAATAGAATCAAAGCCTAAGGGTATCAAACCCACCACCATCAAGTTGATTTCAACTTATAGTGACCCTATAGGACAGAGTAGAATTTCCCCCCAAGGTTTTCCTTTACAAAATCAGATGGCCTCATTTCTCCTGCAGAGCAGCTGGTGGGTTCAAATGGCCAACCTTCTGGTTACAGCCAAACTCTTTAACTACTGAGCCACCAAAGCTCCTTCCCAAAGGGTATCATTATCATAATAACTCTATGTCCTTTGAAGCTGCTGCCCAGGGTTCCACTGTATTGAACACTATCATTTACCTTGTTGTTGTTATGTGCTGTTGAGTCAGCCTCGACTCATAGCAACCCCTCCTTGGGTTTCTGAGGCAGTATCACTATGGAAGTAGATTGCCCAACCTTCCTTCTGAGGAGTGGCTGGTGGGTTTGAACCGCCAGCCTCCTGGTTAGCTGTCAAATGCCTCAGGCACTATGCTACCAGAGCTCCCTGTCATCATTTACCTTACCAGTCCTCAATAGATGAGATATTTAACTAGTTTTCAATTAAGACGGCTGGTGGCACAATGGTTAAATACATGGCTGCTAACCAAAGGATTGGTGATTCAAACCTACCAGCAGCTCTGTGGGAGAAAAATCCTGGCGATCTGCTCCTGCAAAGAATAAAACCTAAGAAACCCTATGGGGCAGATTTGCCCTGTTCTACAAGGTCGCAAGGAGCCTCAATGGACTAGACTACACACAGAATCAATAAGATTCACAAAAGAAATGGATACATGTTGGCATTTAAAAATATCTCTTAGCTACATACCAAAAATCAAACCAAACCCACTGCCATTGATTCAAACTCATAGCTTTTAAGAAAGGTCCTTTGTTAAATTCTGAAACTGTACATTCTAATCCAGGTCTCTTTTAGATAGTTTTAACCCACTCCCTGTAATAGCTATTTCTAGTAATTGTGCAAGTCATCCAATTACTCTTTTCTGTACAACAGAGAAGAGAGATAGTTAATCATCTTAGTAAAACACATATACTAGCTTAGGCAAAAATTTTAATTTTATTCTATTACATTTAGAATTGTAGGCATCCAATGGTATTATGCACATTCGACCATTTGAACGTCAGCTAACTTTGTTATAAGAAAAGGCTCATATTAACAATTCTCTGAAGTGAGAAATACATGTAGAAAATTATATATTCAACTCTATACCAAGTAGGAATTTAAAAATCTTGAGCCACATGAGCTTAAAAGCAGCACTGTTTAGATTTAGGTGTGGATGATAAAAACTGTAATATGTATTGCTCTCTGCCAAATAAGAGAAGCAGTTAGGTTCTTCCCTTAAACTCCAAAGATGGACTTGGTTGACTAAACTTGCACTTGAGAACCAAGCAAGCTGCTAAGGATACAATTTTAGAAGTTATGGTTTTCCCTTGTCCTTTTTCCTTCCCTCATCTACCCCCATACCCTTACGACCACCACAAACTTCCTGAGGTTCCAGAGCAAATAACCAAGAAGTTGTAGTCGTGTATTTACCTTAAAGTATTTGCAGTCATAGAATAAATCCTGAAATTAATCACTAGAAGTGTTTGTTAAAGTATCCTAGGTCTCATCTCCCACCCAACCCACTGTCATTGAATTGATTCAATTCATAAAAACCCTACATGACAGAGTAAAACTGCCTCATAGGGTTTCCAAAGCTGTAAATCTTTATGGGAACAGACTGCCTCATCTTTCTCCTGTGGAGCATTTTTTGGGTTTGAACCACCAACCTCCTGGTTAGCAGTCAAATGCTTTTCAAATGTGAGAATGAAGTTCAAGAATGTGCATGATTAACAAGGTAACCAGGTGATTTCTAGGCACTCTGAGTTTCCAAAGCCCTGAATTAAGTACAGGGAAGATGCAAAATAGATCTAGGTGACTGAGGTACCAACTGAAAGCTGAGATCAAAAGGTGTTAATCCAGCTGTTTGAGTATGAACTATCTGCTGTTAGATGGCAATAAGAAACTCTGGTGGTGTAGCGGTTAAGGCATTTGGTTGCTAACCCCAAGGTCGAAGGTTCAAACCCACCAGATGCTCTGTGGGAGGAAGATAAGGCAATCTACTCCCATGAAGATTTACAGCCTTGGAAACCCAATGGGAGTCACTGAGTTGGAATCAACTCCTTGGCACAGGGTTTTATTTACTTATGTATTTATTTTTCAGTAAGATGCCAGTATTGAGCCACAAAGGTTGAACAACCTTTTTTTTTAAAAGAAAAAAAAAAGTTTCTAAATCTAAAAGAAAAAAAAGCCATGGCTCTCACAATGGCTTGTTGACTTACTATCACTGGATGGCGATATCTTACACTTCCTATTGTTGTAGAAAAGGGATTTTTTTTTTTTTTTTTTTAATGAGTTCTGGTGGCGTAATGCCTAAGGCATTTGACTGCTAACCAGAAGGCTGGCAGTTCAAACTCACCAGCCACTCCTCAGAGGGAAGATTGGGCAATCTACTTCCATAGTGATACTACCTCAGAAGCCTAAGAAGGGGTCACTATGAGTCAGAATCGACTCAACGACAGTTGAGTTTGGTTTCAGATATAATCATATAATCTCATTTAACGCTCAAAATATTCTATGAAGCAGAAAAAGACTGCTACAACGTATGAGGACAATTCTAAAGAGGTGCTGCAAAATCACTTGAAGAAAGAATAAGGAAAGCTCTTCAGTAAACACATAATAAAGTAAGATAATATCAAGGACAGAGTTTCTCAATTTATGCACTAGGCATCCTGCAATCCAGTATAATCTAGGTCTCTTTAGCTCATGGAGAAGCCAAATAGCTTCTGAGTGCAAACAGACAGAGCACGTGGACTTGTGATGTATAGTCTCTAGATTATCCAAATGTGCAATATAAATATTATCTGAGTGTCAAGGAGTGAAAAATATTGAGAAGCACCATATTTAGTGGTGGGTGCTGACTAGGAATCAAGTTTTAACTCCCTTACTATTTCACTACTGAGTGACCTTAGTTAAGTTACTTACCCTTTTTTGAACCCTTAGTTAGGCTTCTCATTATAAAATGAGGACTAGTTTAGATTACTGCTAAGTGTCCTCTATCTCTAAAATTACCTATTTCCTTACATTTCTTAATGTAAACTAACACTCACTGGTCATTCAATTTAAAACTCTAGAGTTATTCAGTCATTTAGTATTTATTCTCTGGTAGCGCAGTGCCTAAGGCATTTGACTGCTAACCAGAAGGATGGCAGTTCAAACCCACCAGCCACTCCTCGAAAGGAAGGTTGGGCAATTCCGTAGTGATACTACCTCGGAAACCCAAGAGGGGTCGCTACAAGTCAGGTCCAACTCAAGAGCACATAACCACCACCACCACCACCTGTGCCAGGTAGGAGACTCTAGGAACCAGAAAGCAAAATCACAGTCCTTAAATAGATTTTATTCTGAATAATCATTGACTCCTTTAAGTGGCTGAATCACAAAATCTATTGAATAGTGTCCAAGTAATGGAAATCCACATAGCCTTCTTATACATAATAAATATTAACTTTATTATTATTATAGCTTCTGTCAATACGTAAGACTTTCCCCCTCAGTTTTCTTTATTTGCTTAAAAAAAATAGGGGTATTTAAATTTACTGATAAATTGTATTTACAATCAAAATCAATTTCCCAAGTATAAGCATATAAAAATAGTTTAAAGATTCTCAATAAGACTCAATAAGACATCTTATTTTCAAATATAACAAGACAATCAATGCGTTTACTATATTTTCATCCATGATTAAAGTTTCCCCAGATTCATTATTGTTTAATTGGGCAGGGGAGAAGAGTGACAGGGAGGTAAAGATTCAAAATTTTAATTTAATATTATATTCAGGCAATCCCCTATTATATATATATCCAACTTTTAAACAACTTCTACTTGCCCTTTAAACCAGCTCTGTCATGGCCAACAAAGCAAAACGGTAACAGAGTTAAAATTTTACAATTTGGCAGATTTGGCATGGTACCCAGAATGGAAAAAATTGTAGTTTGAAGCCCTGGATGGTAGACGCGGAAAAAAGCATCATGAGCCTGTTCAGGAGCCTTATACACAAGACTGGATTACTGGCAGCTGTAAAGAGCAATGCACATTCAAAGTGGTATGGCTGGCCACCATCTTTGAGTAGGGCACTGCCATGTTTCAGCAGGCAACACCATCTTTGAGCAGGGCAATACTGCTTCTGACTGTGCTCAAAATCTGACGGCAAGAGATCTTGTTGGTATGCAATACATATGCTGCCTGTCTTCTCTAAGAGGTAAGGTAGGCTGACTTTCTAGTAAGGCTTCAACTCATAATTTTTCTCATTCCAGCTATCTTTCTGGCTTACTGTAACTTAAAAAATTCAGGTCTGTTCTGCTGACCCTTTCCTGGCCATGAATGAACCAGGCAGAACTGGTTCAAAGCCCTGAAAAATTCTTATACACACAATTACAAATGGATCTCATTTGTAACACTAGGACTACCTGTAATTGGATATCTCCCCTCCCAAATAGAGATGAAACTTTCATATAGATACAATTTCACAAAGGTTACAAATATATATCAAATTACAACTGAAGAATTTGTTATTTAGTATTCACAGTGTTTTTTTTTTTCAAAATATAGGTTCATAATCACTTTCTTTAAAATTAAAAAAAAAAAAAAAAACTTACAACATGGAAAAGTCCATATTTCTTTAGAAATAAATACATTCACCTAATAGTAAGTTCCAAAATGAGAAGAATTACTGTCTCCAGGATAGGGTAGTGGAGGTTGAGGGGGTGGAGGTGGGAGAGGACGAGGAGGGAGGGAGTATGGCAAATTCAGTAATGGATGAGGTGTCACATTAGGTGCAGGCCAACCCATGTTTACAAATGGGGGTGGAGGTGGTGGTGGAGGGAGTGAAATATTATTCATGTCAAACACAGGAGGAGGAAAGGGATATTGTGGCATCATAGGACTGTCTTGTCTCTGAGGTGGAAACCCCGATGTCTCCTGAGATACCACATGCTCTGTGTTATAAAACTGTTGAGGTGGAGGTCCTCCATGGCAAGGTCGAGGATATCTACCTCTGGAAAATCCTCGGGTGAATTCTCTGTTGCGATATCCCTTTGAATATTCTGAAGCAGAAGTATGAGCATTCCAATTCTGATGTACTTCTGCAATATCGCCACCTTAGAGTGGGCAAAAAAATTCAAAGCATAAAATTAAAATTAATTTTAATATACTAGAAAAATTGGTTTAAATTTCAAAAATCCCTTTTCTTAATTTTGCTATTAGTAGAGAACACACGGGGAACAGTAATGAGGCCCTCTTACCTCTATCAGGCACAAGGGGAGACTAGGGAGGAGCTGGAAATTCTACTCCCACCTAGCAGTGACAGGACATCCAACCCTTACCCTCAGTGTCAACAGAGGCCAAGTGGGGAATCTGGACTTCTATCTCCACATGGTAATAATGAAGTGGCACTCTGACTCCTCTCCCTGCCAGGGTGATATTAAAAGAAAATAGCTAAAAGAGCAGGCTTAAATAAAATTCAGAGTCTCATGAAATGTGACATCCAGGTTTCAACTGAAATTCACTCATCATATTAAAAACCAGAAAAATGCCAAACCTAATGAAAAAAGAAAACCAACAGATCAACGTGAAGATGATAAAGATGTTAGACTACCAGAGAAAGATTTTAAACAGTAATCATAAAAATGCTTCAACAGGAAATTATGGACACACTGAAACAAATGAAAAAAGAAAGTCTCAAAAAAGGAATGAAAAACACACTGCCATAAAGCCGATTCTGACTCATTAGCAACCCTACAGAATAGAATACAACTGCCCCACAGGGTTTCCAAGGCTGAAAATCTTTACTGAAGCAGACTGCCTCATCTTTCTCCCATGGAGCAGCTGGAGGGTTCAAAGCACCAAGCTTTTGGTTAGCAGCCAAATGTATTAACCACTACACCACCAGAGTTCTTTCAAAAAGGAAATAAAACTCACTGCCATTGAGTCGATTCAACTCACAGCGACCCCTCCATGGGTTGCCGAGATGGTTCTCTACAGAAGTATACTGCCCATCTTCCTTCCAAGGAGTGGCTGGTGAGTTTGAACCACTAGCCTTCTGGTTAGCAGTCAAATGCCTTAGGAACTATGCCACCAGAGCTCCCCAAAAAGGAAACAGAACATATAAAGAAGAAATAGAAATCTGAGAACAGTAAACTATAATAATCAAAATAAAAACTCAATAGATGGGGTCACAGTAGAATGGAGGATACAGAGGAAAGAATCATGGAACTGGAACACAGAACAATAGAAATTATCCAATCTGAACAGCTGAGAAAATAAAATGAAAAAAGGTTTTTTTTTTTTTAAAAAAAAGGTCCTTATGGACCTGTCACACAGTTAAAAAAAAAAAAAAAAAAATCCAATATTTATGTCATTGAAGCCCAGAAGCAAAGGATAAAGAGGGTTGTACTGAAGAAGTACTTGAAGAAATAATGGCTACGTAGCAGGGTTATAATATCCTTTTACCTTACTCACTCAATGTGTATGCTGAACAAATAATCCAAGAAGCCATACTACACAAAGAACACTGCATCAGGACCGGATCAAGACTCATTAACCACCTATGGTATGCTGATGACACAACTTTGCTTACTGAAAATGAAGATGTCTTGAAGCACTTACCGATGAAGGTAAAAGCCTTCAGTATGGATTACAATCAACCATGAAAAAGCTAAAATCCTGACAACTAGACCAATAAACAACATCCACATCAGAGAGACAAAATTGAAATTGTCAAAGATTTTATCCTACTTGGATCAACAACCAATGCTCATGGAAGCAGCAGTCAAGAATACAAACTGCACTGGGTAAATCTGTGACAAAACATCATTTAGAAACAAGAATGACCAGACTGCCTTTTGTACTTCAGTCATGTTGTCAGAAAGGACCACACCCTGGAGAAGGATATCATGCTTGGTAAAGTAGAAGGTCAGCAAAAAAGGAATACTCTGAATGATGTGGATTGACACAGTGGCTGTAATCATGGGCTCAACCATGGCAAAAACTGTGAGGATGATGCAGGACCACGCAGTGTTTTATTCCGTGGTACATGAGGTCACTATGTGTTGGAACTGACTCATAGCACCTAACAACAACAACACAGCAAAGTTCCAAAAGCAGAGATGTCACTTTGATGACTAAGGTATGCCTGACCCAAACTATTATGGTGTTTTCAATTGCCTTATATGCATGTGAAAGGTGGACAAAAAAGAACACAAGAAGAATTGATACATGAGTAGTGGTGTTAGTGATATAAGATGAATATACAATGGACTACCAGAAGACTGAACAAATCAGTATTAAAAAATATACAACAGAAATGCAACTTAAAATTGAGGAAGGTAAGACTTTGCTCAGCACACTGTGCATATATCATCAGGAAACACCAATCACTAGAAAAGTACACCATGTTTGGTAAGGTAAAGGGGTCAGTAAAAATGATGAAAACCTTCAGTGAGATGGATTAACACAACAGCCTCAACAACTGGCTCAGACACCTTAAAAAGAATAGAGATGGTGCAGGACCAGACAATGGTTTGTTCTGTTATACACAAGGTCGCCATGAGTCAGAGCCCACTCACTGACAACTATCAGAATGGCTAAAATTAAAATTACTGACAAAACCAAATACTGGCAAGAATGCAAAAACTGAATGACTCATGCATTACTGGTGGAAATTAATAATGGTAAACCAAACTGGAAAACAATATAGCAGTTCAGTTTTAGTTTCCATTTCTTTCAGTGTGTTTATTAAGAAACTAAATAGGTAACTACCATACATCTAGCAATTGCACTCGAGCATTTATCCCACAGAAATAGAAACTTATGCTCACATAAATACTTGCATTACATGTTTACAGCAACTTTATTGCCAATAACTAAAAATTAGAAACAACCTGGATGTCCTTCAAGAGACGAATGGTTAAACAACCTGTGGTACATGGATACCATGGCATAAACTCAGCAATAAAAAAGAACTAACTCACTGCCATCGAGTCGGCTCCGACTCCGAGTGACCCCTCCTTGGGTTTCCGAGGCAGTATCACTACAGAAGTCAATTGTCCAACCTTCCTTCTGAAGAACTACTGGTATACGAAACAACTTAATGAATCTCTCGAAAATCATACTCAGTGAAAAAAGCTAATCCTAAAAGAAGATATATTATTCTTGAAATAACAAAATATATTACAGAAATGGAGAAAATATTAGTGCTTGTAAGCATTAAGGAGGGAGTGGGATGGGAGGGAAGTGAGTGTAGCTAAAAAGGGATCCTAGTGGTGATAGAAAAGTTCTCTATCTTGACTGTATGCAATGTCAATACACCGTTTGTGATATTATAGTCTTGAAAGATGTTACCATTGTAGTTAACTAAGTAAAGGGTATGTGGAACCTCTCTGTATTATTTCTTACAACTGCATGTGAATCTACAATTATCTCAACATGAAAAGTTCAATTAAAACACACACACACATACACACACAGGAAAAATATGATAAAACACATGTTAAAAGACAAAATGTCTTGAGTTAGGTATTACCATTACTCCTAAAAATAGAAGCAACATAGAAGCAACTGGGTTTCTTAAGGAAAAAAAGTACTGATAAGAAGAAATGATTCTAACGAGACTTAGCTTGTCTTTTATCCCTAGTGACAAATTTTTGCACCCTTAAGCTCAAAATCACTACCACAGAGTACTCCCCAAGGATGTTCTCCCATTAAATTCCATGCCTCCAATGTTAGCTGGATGCCAGGAAATAAACAGAGAAAATTGTATGCCTCCTTTAGCTTTGTTACTGACAAATATATATATGTAAATGAAAATAAAATATATATTGTCTTCACTCACCTGGTTCATTAAATTCAGATTTGAGTTTTTTCCTTCCTTGAATCTGAGACTTTTTCCTCTGTTTGGCTTCGGATTCTTTCTCATCATCACTGAAATCCAAGGCCTTGCAGAGATAAAGATACAGGTTTATGTTATAAAGATTTGCCAATCCAAGGGAGTGAAGATAACAATTCAATTATTTATCACTGACTCTGATAGAAAATTGTCCTTTTTCATACTTAGTATTTTCTAGTAATATCTAAATTAATTAGGTATAGTTAGCAAAGAAAGTTTAAAAAAAAAAAAAAAATGTCCCCAGAAAACATAACCAAATTCACTGCCATGGAGTCAATTCTAACTTATAGTGACATCCACTGAACTTCCAAGGTAGTAAATCTTTACGGAAGTATATTGTCCCATCCTTCTTTGAACTGCCAACCTTCTAGTTAGCAACCAGATGCCTTAGGCACTGGGCCACCAGAGCTCCAATAAATTGCCTAATGACTCTTAATTAACATAGGCCAATAATCAAGATCAGAATTTCAATTTTTTTTTTTTTTAACTTTCTACAAAGTTTCATACCAGTAACTTTAAAATGTGGGTCTTTACAACTATCAGATATGGGTATTCCCTGGCTAGAAGTCTGACTTCTGGCTTAGACTCAAATTCATCACAGTCCCAGCTGCCAAAGGATGCCAAAGTAAGCAGTTTTTAGATACTTCGAATATGAAGGACTAAGCAAGTAAGAATTAACATAAAAAAAAGAGAATGTTCTAACATTCAAAAATTTACAAATACCCATTATATGCCAGGAACTATTCTAAACTCAACACAGGTAATGATTCTTTCAATAAAATAATGTCAGGAATCATCAAGAGTCAAGTAAGTATGTGGAAAATCACAGGGAATGGTATTTAGTTAAGATTGTAGGAAACCAAAAGCCTAAGAGGTACAGCAGTTAAGTAATCAACTGATAACTGAAAGATCAATGGTTCTAACCCACCACCCACTCCATAAAAGAAAGATGTGGCAATCTACTTCTATAAAGATTTATAGCCTTTGAACCCTATGGGGCAGTTTCATATGTCCAATATGGTCACTGTGAGGTGGAATCAACTTAACAGCAGTGGGTTTGGTTTTGAGTTCTGCTACAACTCTCTTTTGGTTAGCGGCCAAAGGCTTTCATGGTCTCATGAATAACCTCATCTTCAGGCACCCTAAACTATATGCACCTGTCAAGGAATCAGAAAGGTAGTACTAGCGTCCAGAGGGACATATGTGTCCCACATAATTTTACCCCAAGTCCAGAGTAACATTAAGCCAAACCAAACCCACGGCTATTGAGTCAATTCTGACTCATAGTAACTCTCGTTGGGTTTCCAAGGTAGTAAATCTTAACGGATACATTGCCATGTCTTCCTTCTGCGGAGTGGCTGATAGGTTTGAGCCGCCAACCTTCCAGTTAGCAGTCAAATGCCTTAGGCACTGTGCCACCAGAGCTCCTTCAAGTAACACTAAGCCCATATATCCTTGGTAGTAAATATCACATACCCATATTTCATAATAAAATTTCAGAAATGCTCCTTCATTCAGTATGCCTTCTATCAATGAAAACACATAGTATCAACAAAAAACTCAAAGTAGAAAAATAACTGGGTCATGAAAAGGTTAAAAAAAATAAACTCTTTTGACACTGAGATGATTTTGACTCACACTGATTACCATATTTTAAAAAAGCACAACTGTGCCACTGGGTTTTCTTTGCTGCAAACGGTTCACAAAGGCCACCTCCCGTGAAGCTAGTGGGTGAATTGGAATAGTCAAACTTTCTTTAGGTTAGCAACAGACTGCAATTCTCTTATACCACCGAAGAATTTTCATATGAATTATGCATTAAAAAAAAAAAAAAAACCTCACTGCCTTCAAGGCAATATCACTATGGAAGTAGCTTGCCCAACCTTCCTTCTGTAGAGTGGCTGGTGGGTTTGAACTGCCAGCCTTCTAGTTAGCAGTCAAATGCCTTAGGCACTACACCAATTTGAAAATAAAGGGAAAAAAAAGTGTTTATAATATCTGGAAAGAGAGAGAAGAGGAAGCTGCAGGAGACCCTGGATGAAAGTGTTTGTATAAGATTTTTGGTATGGGCTTGCTGAAATGTATTTTATACCAAATCCTCCATGAATCAGGAGTCCATATAACTCAGAATCAATAATCAAAGAGCATAACAACTAAATTTAGTACCTTCAAATACATAGGATCTCTGGTGGTGCTGTGGTTAAAGCACTGTGTTACTAACCAAAAGGTCAGTGGTTCAAACACACCAGCTGCTCCATGGTAGAAATATGAGGCAATCTGCTTCTGTAAAGATTTACATCCTCAGAAACTCTATGGGGCAATTGTACTCTGTCCCATAGGGTCACCATGAGTCAGAATCAATGTGATGGCAGAAGGTTTAGTTTTACATTCAAATGCATGATCTTTAATTGCTAATCTTAATGTGCTAAGCCTTTTTTTCAAAACCTTTCCCTTCACCCAAGTTAGTATGTATCTATCCCCTAGTTATTGGTTGACTCCTCACCAGAAGTCTGGCGTTTCAAACCCATCAGCCACTCCTCAGAAGGAAGGTTGGGCAATCTACTTCATTAGTTATACTGCTTCAGAAACCCAAGGAGGGGTCTCTATGAGTCAGATCCGACTCGATGGCACATAACAAAAAAAAACTACTACACTACTGTAATAGCTGGAGCTGTGTGTCAACTTGGCTGGACCCCAGTTCTGTGTGGTTGTTCCCATGATGGGATCGGATGACGGTGTTCTGAGTGGCCAATCTGCCCAAGGGGAGTTTCCCTAGGGGTGTGGCCTACTTCCAGAATATCCAGGAACATCCTGGGAAGAGAGACATTCTTTGGTGGATCCGGACCCTGGTGTGCTGACTACAACCTTCCATGAATGAGCAGCCCACCCCTCGGCCTAGAGATCTTGGATTCCTCTTTTGTTGGAGTCAACAACCAGTGTACTGCCTGCCAACCTTGAATTTCTTGGCCCCCTGCAGTTGCGGAAGCTAAGGCTGCCTCCAGCCCGACGTTTCCTCCAGGGACTTTGGACGGCTTCTATACGTTTGTGAGCCATTTTCCTAAGATAAATTTCTCTATAATTATATATTACATATATATAAGCTTTAATGGTTTTGTTTCTCTAGAGAACCCAGTCTAACACATTTGGTACCAGGAGTGGTTCTAGAAAGGCAAAATCATAAGGATAGGCTTCCTAGATTGGTTCTCCAGTTTGATTAATTCTGATGACACTAGCGACTCTGCATCTGCTAGTAAAGAGAGCCCTACTAATCCATGGCATGAGGGGGGCAAAATTAATACGTGAAATAGCACTTGTGAGAAGTACTTGTGAGAAGTGATGCTCTGGGTGATCAGATATTTGATACACTTCTGCAATTTTGTCAGAATGAGGAGTATAAGGAAGCTGGTTGGTTGGTCCTACTTACACTGGATAAATTGGTGAAAGAGGAAAATGGGCTCAAAGCTGCTGAGTCTTGGGTTAAGTGCTGCATAAACAACCTCAGTGCTTCCAGCTGTGCTCTGAAAGAAAGCCTTATAGCTTCTACTACCA